CTGTCATGACCTGATGCTGATTTCTTCTGGTTTCACTGATTTCTTCCAGTTTGCTCCTTTCATATCTAATCTGAGACTCCATTATTTCTTCATTTCCATTCTGAAGTTCTTGACTGATGTGGCTGCTGTGGTTACATTCCTGGGTCTTTTTCTGCAGCTGCAGCTGGGATACCTTCCCCTTACTCCAGAGTTTCCACTGTGTGCAGATGCTTCTTACAGTGAGCCAGGACAAAACCCCTTCCTCCCTGTCCTTCACATGGGCACTGCCATATCCAACCAGTAAAGCAAAGTGCTCATGTTGGTTCCTGCTCTTCACAGGTCCAGTCCAGTTCCCCTTGTTGAGCAGTCCTGTCTCTTTCCTCCCAGGCTTCTTTCATTGTATTCTAATGTCAGTGTGAGGGAGGGAGTTCCTTGTCCTTGCAGCTCATGTATGAACCCTGCTGTGTTAGACATGTCATATCTGGAAAACTCTGGAGGGGGGGTGTGCTGGGTGAGGACGTTCAGTTCCTGCTGATTAATGTATATAACTGTGTCAGAGGCAATGGAGAGACATTGCAAAAGATTTGAACAGGGTCAAACCCATGCAAAGAATAAACCTGAACAGGACAGATTTTCAATACATTTTCATTTTTGGTTATGTTGGTACCTGTGATAGTGCCCCCCATTGTCATTATCACATGCAGTAACATATCGTTACATATTTTGAGTTCAGAGTTGTGTCTGTCTGCCCTGCCTATTCTCTTCAAAACTGCATTCCATTGTTCTCTTCTCTGCAGGATCTAGTTTAATAGAAGTCAGTCAGACCTGTGTCAGTGCGTGTCCCAACCCTTGACTGGAGACATTCCACTTGCTGTTGCTTTAAGAAACTCAGAAACAATATATGGACGATTAAAATTCACAAATACATCTAGACATCTAATGGACACAGCAAGTGATATTTACTTTGAAACTAAATTCTCAGTATATAATCCATGTTTCGCAAAAGGGACATTACTTTTGGTCTCCCATGCTTTTTTCATGGTTCCAGTTCTGTTCTCTGAGTCATAGTATTTCCAAGTATAGTAGTTTAAAGCAAAAAATAAAATAAAATAAAACAATGATTGTTGCATGTCACATTTGTTGGGTAAAGAGCTGGGATGGAGATCTAGGAGTTGCTACTTGATGATGTGTGTAGTGTGTATTTTAAGCACATTTATGTAATCCGTAAATAGGCTGTTTTGAATGGAGGGTCACTATAGTTAGGAACCTGATTGGGAATCAAGTTCTCTCTTTGCATCTGGCTTGGACTTCCCACCAATCTTCTGCTAGTCTTTAGTTTTGTCTGATTCTCTGAAAAGATATTTCTGAGGGACACCGTCAGGAGATGCAAGAGTTATCACATCTACTCTGTCCATTCTGTTGTCTCTAGGACCAGCCTCTGTTCAAGTAGAGTGCAGATTTCCACCTCCCAATTATAGTGAGAATGTGCAGTAATTTTTAGTGAATGACAGGTTGCCCAACTCACACCAGACATTATTTGCATTTCTTTTCCATAGAAAGTTATTTTTGCCTGTTTCAAATTACCCTGAAATGTTTGCCATGAAAAGTATTGGGTAAAATCCCTCCTAAATGCTATCCTGTTTACAGGTGCACTCCTCCACCCACAGCATGTCACAGGAGGCTGGCCCCAGGACAGGAGACACTTCCCCAGGTAGAACAGTATCCCCTTGAGCTGGGCTCCTTTAGGGCATGATCATTGCAGTGAGTTCTCCCTTGGGGACCTGCTCTAGTTCTCTCAGAGAACAGTGTTTTCCATCTTCACTCTTCTGAACTCTTGCCAATCCCCATGGTGACTAATTTTTCCTGTTCTAGGCAATGTCATCCTCAAAAAAGAGGGGAACTTCTGTGTTTTGTTTTTAATTTGTAGATTTTGCAACATGCTGTATGAGCTATAAAGATGCTTTCGACACAGGTCAGTTGATTTTCCCTTGAGAAATCAAAGAGTGTTCTGTTCACCAAATTTCTCCAGTCTGCTTTGATTTGCAGATGTATTGACCTTGCTGCTGCTTCCCTTTGCCCTTTATTAAAGGACATTTTCAATTTAATCATTGTTACAGTGTAGACCTTTCTACTGCTCCAAAGGTCTTGAGAGCATGACCCTCTAATCCTCCCTCCCCAAGTGCTGAAAACACCGAGCATATCAGAAACAATCCCCTCAGTCTGACCTGAGAGCCTTTGACTTATGGATGAGTTTTCATAGTACTAGAAGATGCTTTGCAAGCTTCCAAGGGAGAGAAGTTATAACCCAACAATAGGACTACCTGAGCAGCACCTGAACAATGACAGCATCAATATACATGGTACCCTGTAGATGGCAATCTATGTGGTTCTACTCCTAAAGAAGTACATATAATGACCCAGCTGTGGTGGCGCATGCCTTTAGTCCCAGCATTCAGGTGGCAGAGGGAGGATTTCTGAGTTCAAGGACAACCTGGTCTACAGAGTGAGTTCCAGGACAGCCAGGGCTACACAGAGAAACCCTTTCTGGAAAACCAAAACAATAACAACAACAACAACAAAAACTATGTGTGTCTTGGGTTTCTCTTGCTGTGATGAAACATCATGACCTAAAAGCAAGTTGGGGAATAGTTTATTTGGTTTATGCTGTGGATATCACTCTGTATAAATAAAATGCTGATTGGCCAGCAGCCAGGCAGGAAGTATAGGCAGGACAAACAGAGAAGAGAATGCTGGGAAGTGGAAGGCTGAGGCAGAGAGATGCTGCCATCCGCCACGATGAGAAGCAACAAGTTAAGATACCAGTAAGTCACGAGCCACGTGGCAACTCATAGACTAATAGATATGGGTTAATTTAAAATATAAGAACTAGATAACAAGAAGTCTGCTGCTGTGGCCATGCAGTTTGTAAGCAATATAGGTCTCTGTGTGTTTACTTGGTTGGGTCTGAGCGGCTGTGGGACTGGCGGGTGAGAGAGATTTGTCCTGACCGCGGGCCAGGCAGGAAAACTCTAGCTACAGGTTTGCATTTCAACATTGATGTTCATCACTGAAGGAACTCAGGATAGGAACTCAAACAGGGCAGGATTCCAGAGGCAGGAGCTGATGTAACAATCATGGAGGGAAGCTGCTTACTGGCTTGCTTCCCATTGCTTGTTCTGCCTGCTTTCTTATAGAACCCAGGACCACCAGCCTAGCAATAGTATCACTCACCATGAGCTAGGCCCTCCCCCATTGATCACCAATTGATAAAATGCTTTACAGCTAGATCTCATGGAGGCATTTCCTCAATGGAGTCTCCTTCCTCTTTGATGACTCCAGCTTGTGACAAGTTGACACAAAACCAATCAGTACAATATGTACATAAAGATTTTTGAGAGCAGGAGAATTATTTTTCCCTAAGGATGAACCTACTCACTATCCATCCAGTTCCAAGAGGTCAGTCTCCACAACATACAAACAGGCAACCCTTAGGAGAATCATATTTATACAGTTATATGTATGTATATACATTCTTTGTAACAATAATAATTAAAGAAGATGTCAGACATTTGAGATGGAGTGTTGTGGGACAGGAGACAAGTTGGAATGAGGACTTTTTCCAGAAAAAAAAAATCTTTAGTTGTGATAATGTGGGTGAAACTGAAATTAGTTCAGGCAGAGAAAGATAAGTTCAAATGATCTCTTTAGAATAATAAAAATAAAGAATTGTAACTCACAGAAGTTGGAGATGGTATGGTTTTTTTCCATCAGCCAGAGACATCAGGAAGCTGAGTCTTGGGGACTTAAGGAAAATAGATGCCCTGAAACAGTATGATAAGAGGGTGATCAATGCTCAGTATTGTCCCTGAATGCTGGATGTGTGTAAGCATTATGTAGGGTACATTTCAGATGCCTGATTTATAGTGTTTCAGGTGGTGAGCATACCATAACTGAGGATGATCAAAATTACTGCAAAATACCCCATTAATACTTAAATTGCTGATAATTTCATTGTATTATTAAAAAGGAAGAATAATGTAGGACTGTTCTCATATGTCATTCTTGGGCTTTCCTCAATAGGATGAAAAACATCTGTGTGGCGGTGGCATATGCCTTTAATCCCAGCACTCGGGGGCAGTGTCAGATAGATCTCTGAGTGTAGGCCAGCCTGGTCTTCAAACCAGGTTCCAGGACAGTCAAGGCTGTTACACGGAGAAACCCTGTCTCAACAAACAACAAACAAACAAACAAACAAGATGAAAAAACAGAATATCTGAAACTAGAAAATTTTGAAATAGGAAAATAGTGGCATCAGCTTCAGCACACTGATGCACAGGTGTCATATGTGGAAAGCATGCTTAGGAATATCACAAACACATCAGTAGATAGATTCCTGTCAGAGAAAAGGAGGTAGAAAGTAGAAAATGACTGAAGATCAGAGTTCTGTTTTTAAGTTCTCAGTGTTGATATCCTATACTGCTGATTTTTCATGTGTTCACAGTTTGTATTTTTCTGTGAGTTCTTGTTTTGTTGTTCTAACCTTTGTCTGCTCCATCTCATGTCTCTTGTCTCTGTCATTGGCTTCACTGCTGAACTCTGTACAAATTCAGAAACCCAGACTTCAGCCAGGGCTGCGGCTGCATCAGAGTCTGTATTTTCATTTCATTTCGTATTTGTGATTGTGCACATTAAGGTGTTGAGGTTTCCTTCTCCCTCATCATGACTTTCTTCTGTGTGACATGTTTTATATGGGTGTGTACATATGTGTATAGTGTATAATACAAGCATATCACACTATTACACATTATTCTGCTTTCCTACACCATATACGATCACCTGACCATGGTGGGCACCACCAATAATGGGCTGTGCTGTTTTACATCAATCACTAATCAAGAAAATGCCATAGGCTTCCCTACAGGACAGTCTCATGTAGGTATCTTCTCAATTATGCTACTCTCTTCCCAAATGACCCTGGCTAGTGTCAGATTGACAGGAAAACTATCCAGCCCAATGCATCTTTGTCTTTATATTATTATTAGTGGTTTTCACTAATTAAAAGTGGGATATCTTTGATTAATCTTTATTTCAGGAAATGCTGTCCTTCTGGGATGTGGCCATTGAGTTCTCTGCAGAAGAGAGGGAATGCCTGGAGCCTGCTCAGTGGAATTTGTACAGGGATGTGATGTTGGAGAATTACAGCAACCTTGATTTCCTGGGTGAGGATCTTATCTATAGTGAATTCTTATTTCACCATCAATATGTAGCTTCCTCATTTCGTATGGTATCTCATGGGAGCATTTCAACATCCATTTTCATATCTGTCATTTTAAGAAAAAATTAGAGAGGTGCTCCATAGCCAAGAAACATTCCACTATTTTTCTCTGTCTGTGTTGTACTGTCAATGTTGAATATATATTTCATTTAATGGGACCTTTAGTAGAACTGTTAGAAATTCAATGGCGTGAGCCATGGAGCATACTTGTTGACTAAATTGTTTCACAATTCAGTTTTTGTTGGAGTGTTCTGTGTTTTGTGGGTTTGTCGAAAAAAGAGGTCAATCCAAGATGTAATTTTAAGGCCTGTATAACAGCAGGAAGGTCCAGCCTTTGAAGAACTGAACTCTGAACAGGTGCCATACAAAGGCATATTTAATGATTGTTACACAAAGTTGTTTTTTAGCTAAAGTATTTCCTCTTACCAAGGTCCTTAATATACTCTTTGTGTCTCTCCAAGGAAAGCATCCCACGCCCCCATGAATTAGTCCTGCATTGTTTGCAGTACACAATAATCAAAGAGCCTCAGGTGCGCCAGAGGCATCTTGTGATCAAAGTCATGGGAAGACTACAACACCCCTTCAGAAAAACAATTCTACAAATCTCAGAAAACAATCACTATTTTCCACAAAGATTCATTTCTGTTTTCCATAGTGATTCTTCAAGTTCAAAGTACTTCTGGAAAACAAATATTCACTCTAAAGTTTATGCTTGATGCAGTGGAGAGTATTCATTCTAATATTTACCCTAGATACAGTGAAAACTATTCATCCTAATGTCTCTTCAAATACAGTGACTTTGCTTAATTCCTACAGATTTTAATGTTTTTCCCTTTAATGTTTAAATGAAACTTAGAATCTGGACATTGTAAATTCCTTTATGTATTATAGTGGTCCTGTGACAAAACATTTAAGGAACTGATGGTCTGCAGTCAATTATTTCATCATCTTTCCTTATAAACAGTGTACTGGGAGGGACATGTCAATTCCCAGTAGAAGAACACTTCAACAATCTTGTTCCCTTTTTCTTCAAACAGGTCTTGCTGTCTCTAAGCCACACCTGGTGACATTTCTGGAGCAAACACAAGGGCCTGGGGATCTGAAGAGACAAGCAACAGACAGTGTGCACCCAGGTGGGTAGGAATGAGGGGTTCAGGAGCAGAAAGGCAGGCTTTCCCATGTGCATTGAAAGAAGATGTTGTTATGGAGATAAGTCTCTCCTTCATGTCTTTGTTATCAAAGAAAGACATCTCAGACATTCATGATGGTTTAAGTCTCCCAAGCTTTGTAATTCCCTGATGGTGATCTGTGCATGTATTTGCAGAGATCTCCAGGGTTCTTCATTTTTTAAATCTACATTGTAATGTTAGACTCAGGGGAATGCTACTCTATGCAGATGAATCCACTATTTGGTAGGCTTCAGAGCAGACTCATGCCAGAAAGATCTCTTTACCAAAGTGAGCACCATTGGGTTTCTAAAACCAAACCCACAATTCCATCACAGAGAGGCAGGCAGAGGCGAAGGCTCAGCAGTTTCAGTTCTGTTGATTAGAACAATTTGGGTGAAGGGAACAGTTGGATAAAACTCAGGCAAATTGTAGTCAGTTTGGACAGTTCATTCCCCACTGATCTTAGGGAAGAGTCAAGACATTAGCACATTGATAAAGTGGTTGTGTTGGGCCGTTAGGTACACTGATTTAACAGAGGCTGTTTGGTTTTTTTCAACACATTTACCCCCAGTTGGTTCAGCATGGCCCGACCATTAGACAGGAAGAGGAGGAGAGGATGAGCTACAGGGACATACACTGTTAATTCAGGGATGACCATCCAACCAGTTATGGGTCCAGTGATTGTGTGGCTCTCTTTCATGACAGTAGATATAGGCCTTTAGGTGAGTTGTAAGGCTCATGCATTTTGGGGTTTTGTTTTGTTTTGTTTTATTTGAAGTTAATGTATTTATCATGTACAAGGTTATTTGGATATATACCCAACCACAAAGAAATTATAAAATTTTATATATAAACCAGATGTTTCCAGATACCTTAGAGCTAGTAAAATGATTTGTTTCAGATCTAGTCAGGGTAACCACTGTGGCTAGCACTATAGGAAGCATTGTGGCTAATCTTACCATGAGTCCAGTGGGAAGAATAGATCTTGTGGTCCCTTCTTCTCAAGGTCTGTTGATTCTTCAAACTTCCTCCGAGTGTGCATCTGTCCACTGGCTTCCAGGTTGATAATGGGAGCGGGTCTAAGGAGCTGGTCCCAGATGTCTCTGGAAGGTAATTCATAGTGACTACTCTGGGTGAACTTTTACATCCGCCTCACCTCCTCCTCAGGCTATATTGCTTTCTTTGCCTGATGTGGTGGGTCCACGTATTGCACATGCAACTTAGTTTAAATGAGTGCCATAGTTCATCCTGCTGTGCTGACTGGACCTATGGCAGAGCCTCTGTCATATAATATCTACCACTTTGCTGAGGACTCCTTACACAATCAGACATTGACATCTCAGCTCTGGGATTAGCTTTGTTGAGAGGAGGAAATTCAAAGTCAGGGGACAGGGCATGGCCATTTGAACTAGCATGTAGTTCCCATACCAGTTGGGTAGAATTCATAGGTACAATGTTCCCCTCTACATAAGATCCTCAACTATCAGTTCAGGAGACATTGTGTCCAGAGTGATTGCAATAGTGACTCCATAACTTGAGATGTTTAAGATGTGGTACAGAGTCTGAGATCCTCCTCAGCATGAGAGAATCCACCCCCTGTCTTGTGGGACATGAGGAGTGATTCCTCTTCCCTACAGATAATGGGTAAGATTTCCTGGCCTGGCTTATAGGCCACAGGGAGACAGGGGCAACAGATTCTGATAAGTCCTATTCCCCATGCATCCTCATCCTTTGATGAGGCTAGCGTGACATTTACTTTCATAGTTCTGTGTCCCATCTGATGGTGAATGTGCTGTTTGAACATGGGTGTGTCCTGCTATGCGAGTGTAGTGTAGATTTAATCCTTTTTATTCAAGCATGTAATTTCAATAACCAATTGTTTTAAGTACATATGCTTTTGATTATTATTCCATATTAAGGAAACTTTAAGTTGACCTTAAATTTGTTTGAGTTATCTGCTTTTTGCTTAATTTTGATAACATGTACAGAGGATTGTATAATGGAAAGTATAAATTAGTCTCTCCCTCCAATATTGTCACTGGAAATGAATTACATTTGTATTTATCATGACCACAAACTCATTTTGGGACACAGTAAGGATATTTAAACATTAATAATGTGACTCATCATTAACTATTATGTCTTTGTAAAAAAAATATTTATTTTATGGACATGAGTGACCTGTCTTCATGCACACCAGAGGAGTGAATCAGATTCTATTAAAAATGGTTCTGAGCCACCATGTGGTTGCTGGGAATTGAACTCAGGACCTCAGGAAGAGCAGCTTCTTAACCACTTAGCCATTTCTCTAGCCCCACTTTTATGTCTTAATTACCTTTGTTGTAACAGGTTACAATGAGATTAGGATTCAGTAAATGAAAATGCTTTAACCCTGTTAATTTTTGAACTGAAGCTCTTCCATACCAAAATAAACTTTAAACATAAATACAGGCTATGGATGTACTGGGAATTTCACTCTCCTCATCTCTTTATAATATATTCTTACTACATCTAAATCAGTCCTACTGACCTACATTAAGTCACTTATTTCATCAGAAATAATACAATCAGAGGAGAGAATAGTAAGGCTGACTTTTAAAAAAAATTATTCATTTTTATTTGCATGGGTTGTTTGCCTGCATGTATATCTGTGTGAGGGTGTCATATTTTGAAGTTATGCATAGTTGTTAGCTGTCCTTTCAGTGCTGAAAATTGAACCTGGGTCCTCTGAAAGAGCAGTTAGTGCTCTTAACCACTGAGCCATTTCTCCAGCCCCAAGGCTGACCTTTTTAAGAGACACAAAATGGCTGAAGTTTAACAAAGTAAGCGAAGACATAGGTGCCTAGATAGATATCTTTATGTAAGTTTTTGTTAACATGAATAGACCTTCATAACTGTAGGAACTTTAACAACTTTTGACCATTAAGTATATTATGTTTTGTTCCGGGTCGCCCTATCTGGACACCTCTTTGGGGAGGGGGGTGAGAATGTGCAGCATCAATGACACAGACACCAGGAGTCAGGTGAGAAGCAAGCAGCAGACTCATTTATTGAGGATATGGAGTGAACCTATATACCACCTCCCGATTTCCCATTGGCAGCCGGAGACTCTCTTAGCTGTTGTCTCTTTCTCATTGGCCCCCAGCATTCTGATGGCCATGTGTCATCAACTACCAGGAGCAGTGGCAGACTCCTTGTTGGGTCAACAGGAAAGGAAGTAGCTAGCACACATGCCTGTGCACACTATCCGGAACAGGGCAGCTGTGGCTTTATCAAGCTAGCTGGCTGTGCTCCTCCCATATACATGGTGATATATTGTGTACCCTAATAAAGCCTGCCTGAGGATCAGAGGATAGAGCCAGCCACTTGATTAGACATAGAGGCCAGGGAGTGGTGGCACAAACCTTTAATCTTTAGAGATCCTCCTGGATCTCTGTGAGTTCAAGGCCACCCTGGACTACATGAGATTGACTCAGTCAGTCTAGGAGAGAAAACAGAGTCAGGCAGTGGTGGCACACACCTTTAATCCCAGTACTAGGAAGTCGCATTCCTTTAATCCAAGCACTAGGAAAGTTGAGACAGGAAATAATATGGATGGGCACAGAAAGGTATATAAGGCATAAGGAGACAGGAATTAAAGTCTTTCAGCTAGGAAAGTTTTTCAGTCTGAGAAGTTTTAGAAGTAAGGGGTGGCATGTTCCTTTGTTTCTCTGATCTTTCAGCATTTACCCCAATTTCTGGCTCCAGGCTTTTTTTTTTTTTAATTAAAGACCATTTACAATTCATGTTACATATATATCCACCTTTTTATTCATTTTTTTTTTTTGTCAGCTCAGTGGAAACCAAAGTTCTATGTCTTGACCTTGTTGTCCCCACTTCAGACAACATCCAGCATAATGGACTGTGCCTGTCTTAGGTTGGTGTGCCATACAGATCATTACCTGTCTTTGACTACCAGCCCTCGAAGGATTGCTACCCTGGGAGGCATGCCAGGGTGGAGGGAGCAGTAGTCAAGCAGTATTTCCCTAAACCAAGCCTATATAACCTCATGGTGAGGCCCACACTCAGGAGACTCTAGAGCCATGAGCACTTGGAGGGTGGTCTTGTTGATGGACTCTTGTCATGACACATGCTGTAATAGACACTTGATTATTAACAGGAAGCCAAACAGTCACAGAGAATGTTTTGGTACCAGGTGACTGGTGCTTAGTTGGGGACTTCCATGGTTAACTAGGACATGGCCATATGCCCACATAGTATCTCTGGACAGGAAGTGGTAGTCAGGAGCTGTTCCTGGGTTCTACCTCCTGGGGGCATCAGCCCTTATGTGGAGGCACTGGGAAACCCAAAACTGAAATATGTACCTGGACAAACAGACAAACAAGGAAAGGGAAAGAGAGAGGAGGTCCCAGAGCTCATCTCTGACGGGACCAAAAACACAAAACACTGAGGGGCCAACTCACCTACCAATCACTGAGCAGGGGGTGCCGAATTATGCCGTGGAAGAAAGGGGACATCCAGAGGAACAGTGACACCCACATGGACACCAGCCCCTTATTGGGAGCCATATGTTGCAGGTTGCTCTGTCTGGACACCCTTGAGGGAGGGGATGAGAAGGCATGGTGTCAATGACACAGACACCAGGAGCCAGGTGAGAAGCAAGACTTGTTTATTGTAGATATGGACCAGACCTATATACCCCCTCCCAATTTCATATTGGCAGCTGGAGACTCTCTTAGCTGTGTTGTCTCTTTCTCATTGACCCCTAGCATCCTGATGCTCACATGTCACCAATTACTAGGTGCAGGGTCCAACTTCAAGTTGCGTCAGCAGGAAGTAGCTAGCAGGCATTCCTATGTGCAGTACCTGGAACAGGGCAGCTGCGGTTTTATCAGGCTACCAGGATACACTCCTCTTATAATCTTTAAAGGCCTGTATAACATAGTCAGATCTCCCATCACTTG